CATGGGGGCCAGGGAGCATGTGAGCCGGGGCACGTGTGAGCTGGGGTGCGTGTGAGCCGAGGTACATGGGGGCCAGGGAGCGTGTGAGCCTGGGGTGCGTGTGAGCCGGGGTGCGTGTGAGCCGGGGGTGCGTGTGAGTCGGGATGGGTGTGAGTCGGGGTGCGTGTGAGCAGGGGTGTGTGTGAGCCGGGGTGTGTGTGAGCATGGGTACATCTGAGCCGGAATGCGTGTGAGCGGGGGTGCATGTGGGCCAGGATGCTTGTTGGCCAGGATGCGTCGGAGCCTGGGGTGCATGTGAATGGGGGTGCATGTGAGCCGGGGTGCGCAGGAGCCTGGGGTGTGTGGGAACCAGGGTGTGTGTGAGCAGGGTGCGTGGGAGCCTGGGGTGCATGGAAACTGGGGTGCTTGTGAGCGGGGTGTGTGAGCCAGGATGGATGTGTCTGGAGTGTGCAGGACCAGAGGCCAGCTCCGTGGCACAAGTGCCGGGGACATCCCTAATTAAGAGAATCTGTCCTCACTGGAGCACCGGGCTTGGGCCACAGCCCCAGGGTGGGCAGGGTCTGCCAACTCTACAGAGATGCCCCCACTTCCTGGGGGACCTGGCCCTGCTACGGGATGCACCAGCAGCTGGGGGACGGGCTCTTGAGGGTGCTGAGTGCTAACTCAGCACCCCCACCCACGCATCTTTGGAGAGGTGTCCCTCGTAACATCCTGGAGCACGGGAGAGGCCTGGAGGCAACGGCTCCCTCAGTGCTCCCTCCAGACCGTCGGGCACAAGGACATGCACACCAGGTACAGACCAGTTCAGACAAGGCCGTGCGGAACTGAGGGGCATTCTCGAGGAGCACATAGGAACCTCAGCCTGGCCCTGGGCTGTCCCCATGTCCTCCCACAGTTCCCAGGTTTCGTGGGAGGGGCAGACAGGGCACCACACATGGCCTGACATGGTCACTGCCCCAAGAATTGGGCAGAGAAGGGATATGGCCCTGGGTCCAGATCACCAGGTGATGAGGGCAGAAGGTCAGAGGGAAACAAGAGGCCCCAGAAGAAGAGATGGCCATCGGCAGCTCAGAGCATATCCTGGCCTCAAGCACCAAGCAACCCCACAAGTTGCATTCCAGGCTAAATGCCCAGGCTGGTGGGTGAAGGTCCCTGAACTTAGGGGAGGTACTGGCGCAACAGAGAAAACTCATTTAAAACCCAAACTGGGGCTGGGCGCAGTGGCTCCCGCCTGTAATCCCAGCACTTTGGGAGGCCGAGGCGGGCGGATCACGAGGTCAGGAGATCGAGACCATCCTGGCTAACACGGTGAAACCCCG